CGTCCTCGCTTGGTTTTGCTGCAAGTTGATAATCTTCTCGGTGACATACTCTGACGAAAATGTCCATACTATTTATACGGAGAATTAAAAAAAAAAAAAATAACTGTCCGATAAAATAGGGAACGAATACGATGCGACTCGTCAAGCAAAGAAAGTCATTGCGAGTCCCGAACCTCGACAAGCGGAAGAAGCAAAATGAAAACCGACGACAACGACGACGACGACGACACAGTAAACTGTTACCGGACAGTATCCGTTGCATTGTCGTCGGACCGTCCAACTGCGGTAAAACAAACGTGATGGTTTGCTTGCTACAACATCCGAACGGATTGAAGTTCCGCAACGTGTACTAGTACTCGAAGACACCGTTCCAACCCAAGTACGAAGAACTGCGTCAGATATTCGACGGAATCGACGGTCTCGGATACAACGTCTATTCGGACACGGCCAAGATTGTTCCACCAAACGATGCCGCATCGGACTCGGTCTTTATTTTCGATGATGTCGCTTGTGACAAACAAAGTGCGATGCGGGATTATTTCAGTATGGGAAGGCACAGCTTGGTCGACAGTTTCTACTTGTGTCAAACGTATTCTCGCATACCGAAACAATCGATTCGCGATAACGCTAACCTGCTCGTAGTTTTCAAACAGGATAATACAAACTTGCGACACATCTACGACGATCACGTCAACACAGATTTCACGTTCGAAGATTTCAGACACATCTGCTCGGTGTGCTGGCAGGACAAGTACGGGTTTATAGTCATCGATAAAGATAGTAATAAGAACGAGGGAAGGTACCGAAAAGGTTTCGGTACCTATATTGTACAAGATGGATAACTTATCGTTGTCGACGATCGCTCAGAAATACGGTAGTATTGATAAAATCCGTCAGGATATCAAACGGAAGTTAAATACCATTCGCACCGGAGAGGCGGACGCTCAGGTGACGTTGAAGAAAGTTTTCAAACCGTTGACAGATCCGCTCGCAGCGTTGCAGAAAACTGTCTCGTCATCAACACCCGCACTTGTCGCTGCTCCTCAGGAAAAGAAAACCAAGATCGAACCTTCAAAATTGGAAACGAAAGATAAAACAATGTTAGTTGATAGTTTATTTGCTTCGTTCGGATCACCGAAAAATATGAACAAAGATGATGATGATAACGACTCAAACGAAGAGGAGGAGGAGGAGGAGGAGGAGGATGATGATGATGATGATGAATCGTTCCAAGATGCAACGGATAAAGAACAAACAACGGGTCGCACTGAAGACGACGACGTCGATTCTCGAGACACGATCACTGCCCCGAACGTACAGTTCTACTTGGACGATCTGGAAAAACATCCGAAACAATCCGATCCCGCGTATGGTGTGCGGAAAGCGATCAACGGAAACTTTCTTATCGGAAACCGAACTTTCGATTCGGACGGACGACTAATCTTGGACGGTAGCGATGAGGTGTTCGAACCGACACCCGGGTTCTTGGAGCTCCTTTTTAAGAAACATCCGCGTAATTACACAGCAGATGATCGCGCTAAATTCCAACGAGTAGTTACGCTCACCAATGCGCATCGGAGGGATCATCATCCACACGGTAGACCCAACTCGAACCGCAGTCAAAAATACCGCGATCTCATCAAACCTTTGTTCGCTACATCGACTCCGAGATCAACGAGTAAGTCATCGCGTAAAAAATTGAAGAAAGGATCTGGTATCAAAATTCACCGTGCGAAACGGGAACTCGTCTATTGGGACGATCCGAACGAATTGGTTCAACGTCTCGTTTTACTTGCAGCTTCGAAACAAGCTGCTCACACCGATCATGATCGTGAAATTCTGAGTATCGTCGAAGAGCTTCGCGAAGCAGATTACATCCACTAAATATAGGTTCCGCACAAAAATGAGTCACACCGACCGGTTTGGAAGATCGAAAGGGACTTACGTTCGCAACACGAAGCAAGGTCTCAAAAGTGACGGTTTCTTACTGGATCCCGACGGAAATTATCTTGTATCCAACAAACGGATCCGACAACTGCAAGATCCCGAAGAGGATACCGACGCTGTGAACAAACAATGGACAGACTCGAGGTGGACGGAAGCTATGAATTTAGCACAGCTTTGTATGGAGAAAATGGAAGAATACCAAAGTATCACGCAACGACTCGAGACGAAATTATCACGATTGGAAAATAGGATCAATCAATTAGAGGTTGTGAATCGAACGAAAGGAAAATAGTGTTGCGATGGGTCACACCGACGGTTTTGGCCGATCGAAATTACGCCGCGGGCCAAAAGGTGACGGATTCTCACTGGATTCCGACGGAAATTATATCGTATCGAACAAACGGATTCGAAAAGATCCCGAAAGCGATGAGGATGCGATGAACAAACAATGGTATGAACGGAAGTGGAAGGAAGCTATGAAATTAGGTCAACACTGTCTGGAGCGTATCCACCAACTCCAACAATCTTACAATCGTCTGGTTAAAATAGTAGCATTGAAACAGCATTTGAATCGAGAGAGCGGACGACGACGACGTTGACGGTAATTATCATGTCGGCAGAAAAACGTGGGATTTTCGAAGAGATACATAAACCTGCACGACGAAACTATCCGCGTCGTAAAGTACGGATTCTCGGATTGTTGGATTTATGGCAAGCTGATCTCGTCGAGATGCAACCGTACGCCTCGGTCAACAAAGGATACAGATATCTCCTCACCGTCATCGACACGTGCTCGAAAAAGGCGTGGGCCGAACCGCTCAAATCGAAAACGGCCACGGATGTCACTTATGCTCTGCAACGCGTTCTCAAAGCAGCCGGAAAGTCTCCGAAACATTTACAAGTCGATATGGGCTCGGAATTCTACAACTCCAAATATCAAGCATTGATGAAGCGTCACAAGATCAATATGTACAGCTCGTACTCGACAACCAAAGCCTCTGTTGTCGAGCGATTCAACCGAACGCTCAAAACTAAGATATGGGGAGAGTTTAGCGCGCAAGGATCGTACGAGTGGGTAGATCTATTACCGAAACTCATCCGTGAATATAACGGGAGCGTTCATCGCACCATCGGGATGAAACCAATCGATGTCACCGAAAAGGATGTACCGATGATCCTGCAAAAGCTTCGTGGGCCGCCGCTGAGTAAAATTGAAAAGAGACGTCTGGCTAGACGAAAATTGAATGTCGGTGATCACGTCCGGATCTCGAGACTCAAAGCCATGTTCGAGAAAGGATACACACCGAATTGGAGCACGGAAATTTTGAAGATTGGCAGCGTCAATCCGACCGTTCCGATCACGTGCGATCTGAAAGACGCGCACGATACGATCATCAAAGGAGAATTCTACCGCGAAGAACTCCAACCCACAAACTATAAAGATACGTTCCTGGTGGAGAAAATTCTGCGTCGCAAGAAAAACCAGGCCTTTGTTAAATGGTTGGGTCTGGACGCGAGTCACAACAGTTGGATCGATAGTAAGGATTTCGTATAAACAGTAAATCAACGCGAACTGTTTTAAACTGTAACTGTAAATACCCCAAAAAAAATTTGATTCATCAATCTGAACATTGCAATACCCAATCCCAGTTGCTCATCGCAAAACATAAGGTTCCGATACACATCTCCAAGCGCTAAAAAAATGTAAATTCCCGAATCAGACCCTACTCTCCAGTCTCCGATACCAGGCCTATACTGTAGGATATGGTCTATCGTGGATGCCGTCAAAATTTTACAAGTCCGAAATCTCGAAAACGAAAAGTCGTATCGAAATTCGGTCCGTACAGTTTTCCGATCTTCGATAATGGATAAGGATCGCATCGGTCCGCGGCGGATCGGAGGAGGGTGATTTTCCGAAAAATTTTCAGTTTCCCGAATCAGACCCTAATCTCCAGTCTCCGATACCAGGCCCATACTGTGAGATACGGTCTTTCGGAACGGAAAATTTTTACAAGTCCGAAAATCCGAATTTTTTGCACAATCTGGCAACATTGTATCGAAAAATTAACAAATTTCTTGCACCATCTGGCAACACTGTAAAATTCGATGTTGCAAAACTTCACCCATAAATAAATAATTTATTTAAGTGCAACTTCCGGCAACGCTGTAACCACCATCTTGAAAAATACATCATTGCATAAACCGCATGATAAAGGGGCTACATTACACCATTGCATAACCCGCATATTGAAGGGGCAACATGCAATACTTTTACTTTTACAGCGTTGCCATATTGAACAATAATCACCATACAACACTGTAATTTAATTCATATCTTTCTGCACCATCGTGCAACGCTGTTGGATAATTTACTGCGCTTCAATTCCCATTTTCATACTACTTTTTTGCTCTAGCAAAAGTTTGCACCAGGCCCATTGTCTACAAAGTTATCACAAAATAACTTTACTCTGTCATCGTTTGGACAGTCAGTCATAAAATTTTCTACAAAGCAGCTTTCAACTTCGTCGGGGTCAAGAAATACTAGTCCAAAAATGTGAGAAAGCCACTTACTAATTTCGGACGCTTGATCTTTTTTCATATACTTAGATGCAAGACCAAGCTTTTTTATCTGTCGGTAGCCAGACTGTGTTATGTGAAACCTACATGATATTAATTTGATATTTTGCCATAAGGAGAATTCTACGGCCAAGATGGAAGATTCTATCCCATCCACACTGATTGTGAGATAACACGTTCAATCTCATCTGTTTTGCTACTGCTGCATTGATCAACAGCGTTGTCAGGTCCTTCTGAAAAACTGCAAAATACGGCAGAATCGGCGCAATTTTCCATTCGTGCTCTATTCGAAATAGGCGCAGTTTACAACCTGCTTTTTCCCAGATTGGCGCAATTTACAATCAGCTTCTTTGGGAATCGGCGCAATTTACCAGCTTCCCGGCGTAGTAATGTTGCAGGTTCAATCGGACGATGGGTGGAGTAACTTTTTAGCACATTCATAAATATTTCCAAGAATTTAGAACTGGAGTGCTTACCTCGTTGGATTTTTAGTCTCAGAAAGAATTTCCAAGAGTTCGTCATTTGATAGGAAGAAAAATCTTGGGAAAAACAAACGTTTTTTTTCTAAATAATCATTCAGACCTCTTTGAATCATTTCGAGTAGATTATTACATTTCACTAATCGTTCATGCATTTTGTCAATGACAATCACAGTCATCACTTTCGTATCAGATGCAACTGCTTTCATGATGTCTTTCCAAGCCTATTGAAGAACAAAACAATCGACTAGATGGACCACTAGATAAGGTGAGATATTGAGTAGGTACCTTCTGCACCATGTGGATTCTCATTCAAATTTCACAAAAGTGGAAAGGAAAGGAAAGGAAAGGAAAGGAAAGGAGAGGAAAGGAAAGGAAAGGAAAGGAAAGGAAAGGAAAGGAAAGGAAAGGATAGGAGAGGAGAGGAGAGGAGAGGAGAGGAGAGGAGAGGAGAGGAAAGGAAAGGAAAGGAAAGGAAAGGAAAGGAAAGGAAAGGAAACGATAAAAATAAAAGAGAGAGAAAAAATTAATAAGAATATGAGGCAAATCGAAAAAGAGGAGATGTGAATCGAGAATACAAAGAGTATGACTCTTTACGATGCTAGGAGCCGAATGTTAAAAACAAAGAAAAAAGAATAAAACCTTACGAAAATAATGAAAAAGCACTGTAGAGCTACCTGTTCGACATTTTTGCCTGAAATCAATGAAAAGCAATCCCCAAGACATCATTCTTTGCTCGCAAAATGTCTAATATCGGCCAAAAGTATAAGCATTGTTTGCCCACTTTTGGTGGTAAAATCGAATTTGCGGCCTACATGCCTGTAAGGTGGTTTCACAGTCGAGATTTGAGACTTTTGACGATAATCACCCATTAAGTACTAGGTGTACGTCCCTAGGATGCGAATATTTGGGCAAATTCTGAAATGTTATGACGGCACGTCTTCAATCGGTTCCATTTCATAAAAAAACGTATGAAAACAAATTTAAGCTTAGAATTGAATTGGCTCGTTCGAAAACTGCTAATTTCCATTTTCTCTAATTTAGAGAGAGCTCCAAAAAACTGTGGAGGCCTTTTAAATGCGGGTTTGAATAGAATAGAACCGAATAGAATGATTTTTTTTTTGGAGGAACTCATTTATATCTTACGGAGACTATTTGATTTGAATAAAAGATAAATATGCATTTTCCTCCATGCCTAATAGGATTGTCTGCCCGATGATCAATTTTTCCTATTGCGCACCGAACCTTATAGTACTCTCTTATGGGAAAAACAATTCGCTTTTGCGGGCGTCCTGGGTAACTTTTGAAATTAATTCAATAAGAACACTATTACATTAAATTCATATTCCTTTAATATTCAGTGTTATACGCGTCTCATGCAAAACACATGCACAGGTTTCACAGCTAATAGATAGGTAAAGAGGATACCTTGTCCACTGCACTGAATCTACGTCCTTCCTCTGGCATCTGTTGCTGAATATCTGGCGATGAAAAAATTGGCTCTAAGTAGATCCATGTTATTTGCACTTTCAACCATTCGTCAAGAACTTCTTGCAAGAGAGTCAATTTAGTTTCCCACGCTCTAAAACGTATCAATTTTATTATCAATTTAATTAAAATGACTATATGAAGTGAGAAACTATGAGATATTTTACTTCACGTTAGAATTGAGGTTCCGAACTTTTTTTAAAAAAAAGTTCTTGAAACTATGAAAACCAAACATTTTCGGAAGGCATATACATCCATCTATGAGAATAATATCTTTTTCACACACTTTAAGGTCCTGTTTGATAGTAAAATAGTTTTATGATCAGAATACTGGGTTTGGTTGTAATTCTGGTGACGCTTTTAACTTCCCTGTCAAAACGGTCCCATTGGAACCCGTAGGAAATCCCAATGGGAACCCGTTGCAAATTCCCACGGGGACCCGTTGGGAATTGACCATGGTTCCAATGGGTTCCAATGGGATTAGTCAATCAAGAACCTGCGGGTTTGGATCTATCCCCATCGGAACCATGGCTAATTCCCAAAAGGTAAAATACCCGGGCGCCCTCGTGTGGACTTGAACCCGAACCGCGTTTGTCATAGCCTCGCACTCTGCCACTTAGCCACAGGGAGCTGATGGTGTTTCGGGTTAAAATCATGCCTGTCAAGGCTGTTATTGCATGCATTGCGTCAGTGCGCGGCTCAATTTTCATCATAGCTTTGATTATAACGCCGTGTTTTCTCAGGCTTCTTTCTTTTTCCTATTATTATTTTTTTTTTCGTGTTAATTTTTTTCGATATCACGTACTAGGTACTTACACTAAATTTACAATGGTGTATTTTACACCACATACTAACTTGAGAGCTTAAAACTATTTTTAAAATATTTTCAAAACTTTTTAAGGAATATTTAAAAAATGTTTACCTGCAATATTTTTGAATTATTTTAAAAATACTTTTTGTAAACATTTTCAAAATATTCCCTAAAAAGTTTTAAAAACATTTTAAAAATATTTTGAAAATATTTTAATTATAACATTGTCATGAAAATATTTTGATAAAGGTGACAATATTTTCAAAATATTTTCAAAACATTTTGTGCTAACTGGGTATGTTTCAAGGGCACTTGCTAGCAGGTTTGATGAAACCCCTTTTGGAGCATTTAATTGAATTATATTCCTAGATTGTATTGGGTCTTAGTGAAAAAACCAGTGTTAGGAATTAATTTCAAAAAAATAAATAAATAATGGCGACTTCATTCCCTTCTTCAGGACGTGGCTATTTAATTCGGTGAAATTCCGCCTTGTTTGTGTTAGTTCGTAATGTCTCTCTAAATGCGTCCGAATCTCAAAAATTCCATTTTAGATACCAACGTAATTAATAATTAAAGCATAAGATTATTTCTTGCTCGCCGATAGTGACGTATTCTAAGGAATTGCGGTCAGCAAACCTCCGATACCAAAACTTTCCAGACAGGTGATGAGAAGATGCAAAAAGGGCAAAAAAATGAACGTTTGTGAACAACTCGAAATAGATAGATTCAGAACCAAAGCTATCCTTAATTTTCAGACAGAAAGCACCATAACAACAGTGATTACCCCTCCCACCTTGATGAACTAGGCACTACAAGATAACAGGGAGTGAGGAAGAAAGACATAACAACGAATGCCAGGGTTATCAGGCACATCACGAACGCGAACGCGGACGCGGATACCGAGCCACTCGCAATCGCGAAAACGCATCGTAATTTTAGTTTTTATACATTTTTTTAATCACCTGACAATGAGCGTTAACTCGAAACAGATGTAGTGAAGTATCAACAATTTGTAGAAAAATCGGTAAGAATAAGTTTTACAAAATTTGAAAAATTTGATACAGTATGGCTGAAAAAGTTAACAACAGAAGTGATAAGCTTACATTTTGATGTATCGATCGGTGGTTTTGCCAACCCATACCATTTATTAATTATCGTATTTCATTTTTAAACCCTCAGGTAACGCTGTAGGGTAAATATCGATACATCGATTACCGATGTTGCCCGAATGAACCAATAACACCGCTCAGCATGGGTTCTATCCTTCGAACCAAGCCAACTTTTTTCGATTCCTACCCTGCTAAAAATTTCTCATGGGAATTTCACTCAGGCTGTTTTGGGCAGGGGCATAATTCCCCTGAGAGGTGGCTCTCATGAGAAGTGACTCCCATGGGAAGTGGCTCCCATGAGAATGCTCCCTAGCCCGTGCCCAAAATGCCGTCTCTGCTAGCAGAGCCATAGAAGAAAAAGATTAAGGATTAAACGCGAAAATTAATTCGTACTATTGCCATGACATGTTTTAGACATGAAAGTAATTCTTTGCTATTATGCAAACCTCCGCAAGGCGGTCATTCCCAAGCGGTCTCCCATCTAAGTACTAACTACACCCAACGTTACTTAACCCTCGTGATAACCCGAGTGCCGCTGCCGTGGAGCTCCGGAGGCCCACGTGTATTCGAGGGAGATTTAGCAAGCATGAACATCCCCAGCGCCGCGCCGCGTTGATTCCATGATGGAAAGCAACGATATTCTTGAAAATGTCTATATACATTACGCAGTTTCAAAGAAACAAAAATAATAAAAAATTAGATCAATTTTTGGAAAGAAAGAAGTGAATAACACATGAATCAAAATAAAAAAAAGTGTATATAGTTATTAGAACGAAGAAAAATAAATGAATGAAATTGAATTAAATTGAATGAAATAAAATAAACAAGAAAATTAAATAAAATAACCTAAATAAATAAATACATCGAATAGATTGTAATAAATAAATGAATAAAATAAAATAAAAAAAGATTAATATAAATAAATAAATCAAGTAAAATAAAGTAGATTAAAATAAACAATTCATAAGTAGAATAAAATGTATTTTCATAAACAAATAAAATATGTTAAATTATTTAAATAAAATAGTAGTAAAGTATCGAATTTATTTGGCTCCATAGCATCTATTTGGCTATAACGCACCTGAAAAATAATATGAAAATAAATCAATAAATAAAAAAACAATAAATAAAAAGAAACCAATAAATAAAAAAATCAACAAATAAATAAAATGGATTGAAAAATAAATAAACTAAAAAAAAAACAACCGATAAGCCGGAAGTCCGCCAACCGAACCTTAAAGCTACGGGACGCGCGGGGACGGAGGGACAGGACTGAAGATCCCCAGACTCCCATGGGTGCACAGGTGACCCCCTATTCATTTCCTTGGGAGCACAGGGGACCCCCTATCATTCCTTGGGGAGCACAGGGGCTTTCCTTGCTATTCTTCAGGGAAGCAGATGTGATCTCGTGTCCAGCCCCAGGGGAAATATTTGTATCAGGGTACTAGGGGGTCCTGCCCCCTGACCGCTACGCGGCCCAACCCCCGGGAGGGCGCCTCGCGCCCTCACGCCCGCTTCGCGGGCCCTATACGCATATGTATAGGCATGAATGTTCTTCCATTTTAATACACCATTTTGTGTTCGAGCGGCATCGATTTCAAAATTTTTGACGTAACACCCAGATTTTTAAATGATGATGAATAGCTGGATGTACACATAATATTACAGTCCACTTATTGGAGAAATATCCACTTAATTTTTTATTTTTAAATACTTAATTAAAAAAAAAAAAAAAAAAAAACGGATTTCGACCGTTAAGAGTTAATAATATTTGGTCCGTCCCGACGCGACGCAGCGCCTGCATTCTCACTTTGTATCTGCTGTTTATCTGCTGTAAATATTAATAGAAATTCAGCAATCAAGTAAATTGATCAATGCAATGCCTCAAATCGAACCCGGAAGAATGCAGGAAAAGTTGAGTTACACCTTATACCTTGGACCTTGAACCTTGAACCCCGAGCGATGCACCGTTCCTCAACTCTTCGAATGAGGAGCCCTTCACGAGCTTTTCCATTGTTTTATTGTTAATTCCAGTCACACGGGTAGAATCCCACACCTTGACGTTTCTAGCGGAAACGACATATCTCTCACGTTATTAACATTGAACTTAAGTGACATGAGCTTTAAAAGCTCTACAACATTAAAAGTTCGGGGTTTCATAATTTTTTGTACACCTACATCTACTACAGATAGTATACATGTAAAGATCATCCTTATCGGTCCGGCAGTTCGTCAGAAATAGTGCTTTCAAGATTTTGCTTGTAGCTGTATAATACAGGGTGATCCAAAAGTCCCTTCCACCCCCTCTAACTTTTTACCTAATTGAGGTAAAGATTTGAAACTTGGGGAATTTTCTTAGGTCAAAGGGAGCTACTTTTTGGCCCCCCTAAAATTTTCAGGGGGGCCCCCTTTGGGGGGCAACGGCCCCCAACTTTTAATTTTCAAATGGGAAGACCCCTTTTGTGATAGCTCGTTCGAAAGAGCATAAAAAAAGAAAACTTTTCGCGCAAACCCGAAGTCAATATCTCAAACCGTTTCAAAATGGCGGCCGGTTAAAGTTCAAAATGGCCGAAAATTCACACCGGTTATTTGTCGATGGATTTGCGCGAAAATCGGTATTTAGGGGTATTTTGACACGAGGAAAACGAATTTGACGTTAGATTTTCAAAAAAACCGAAATTTCCAAAATGGCCGCCGGTTAAAGTTCAAAATGACCAAAAATGGATTTTTTTTGGAAATCTAAATTCAAATTTGTTTATCTTATGCCAAAATACTCTTAAATTCCATGTTTTAGGCAAATCCATCCGGAAAAAATCGAGGTGAAAATTTTCGGCCATTTTAAACTTTAACCGGCGGCCATTTTGGAAATTTCGGTTTTTTTGAAAATCTAACGTCAAATTCGTTTTTCCCGTGTCAAAATACCCCTACATACCGATTTTCGCGCAAATCCATCGACAAATAACCGGTGTGAATTTTCGGCCATTTTGAACTTTAACCGGCCGCCATTTTGAAACGGTTTGAGATATTGACTTCGGGTTTGCGCGAAAATTTATCTTTCTTTATGCTCTTTCGAACGAGCTATCACAAAGGGGGTCTTCCCATTTGAAAATTAAAAGTTGGGGGCCCCCCTGAAAATTTTAGGGGGGCCAAAAAGTAGCTCCCTTTGACCTAGGA